CTATCCAGGCGGCGGAGAAGTTCCGACGGTTGCGTTTCACCACTTTGCCAATGACCGCGTCAATGAGGAGTGGTTCCTTGGTTCCACGACCGCCGCCCCGACATCCATTTTGAGCGCGCGACATCACCTGATTTGAGTCCAGGTGACGAGTGATTCTCGCGCTCAAAATGGATGTTAGTGTCTTATATATGGTCGGTAGACATGTGATGGGGCGGTATTTGCTCGGGTCTGTGGTACTCTGGCCTTTAGGAACCAAATGGGTGATCCCAGTAGTGAAGAGGCTCGGGAGCGACTTCTGGTTGAGAACCTCTTGAAACTGTCGGGCGAGCACAGTGTGACACACCACGAACCCCTTCAGCCAGTAGTGATGCAGCCCGTCGAGTCCCGGACTTTTCCAGTTCGGGGCCCTACGGACCGCCTCAGCTACGTCATCCGGCGTTATGGTGACGGGGTCCATGGGCGTAATACCCGCACACTGACTCGCCACAACTTCCGTCCAAGGGCCCTCGTTGTGGTTTACGGGCTCTGACCACAGGCTGCGCCAGAATGCGACCGTGTCGGCCTGATTCGGTACTGGGCCCGTTCCACTTACCATTGGTCGCTCCAATGATTTATAGAGCCTCTTCTGATCACTCTGGAAGAGACGATTCTGGTTGAACCGTGTCGACCTCTCGGTATATCGCCGAATTCGCTTTCCCCAAGCAGCGATTCTCTGCTTCAGGTCGTCTATGCGCTCCGTCAGTTTTTGCATTATATCCGGCTGGGACAAACTAACATTTGTCCCAGCAAACGCCATCCTGACGGTGCGCACAATCCTTGGCCTGGTATTGCCTGACCTGAAGCATATCAGTCTGCCGATGAGGGCCCTAGCCTTTGCGATACGTTCTTCAATTCTTGTTCTCCAGGCTGGGATAGCACTACTTTGTCCAGTAGTGCGTCCAGCCGTGGAAAGTTTGGCGCCTATAATACGGCAGACTGCCAGTGCGGCGCCAAAGAGAATTGAGTCCGTCTCGCAAAGGTCCCGGCTGGCTTCCAAATAGGTCACCAGCATTGGGTTCAGAGCCCTCACGACAGCCCGATTCCGCTTGCTTAGGGCTATGCGGGGGAAGTCGCGGTCGATTTTCGAGAGGCGTACTGCGCGTTTCCATAATCGCCTCTTCCAGTGTACTCCTCATTTGCTCTATTTCTAGTTCCTGGGCGAATGTTCCATCATCATTTGAATCAGCAACCACTGGGGTATTCTCGGCGGCATCCACGTGTGCGGGTTGTTCTGCAACTTGTGGCACCGCACCCTCAGTCGTAGCGTTTTCATTTGATGAGGGAACAGCCTCACGTCGTAGCCGTTCGAGTTCGGCGCCATCAAATATATTTGAGCGTAAGATGTACCGAACTCGGTCTGCCAGGTTTTGCTCGGTGACAGTAATAGATGGCTCCAGCTCAGTAAAAAGACGATGCATCCTAGCCCGATACGCGAAACCTCCAATTTCTCCCCCTTTCGCCCTAAAATACGCCCGCAATGCGTTTGAATTCATATTGATGGTCCATCGCATGCGGCGTACTCCACCAGTGGCGGGTGCCGATTGCTGGGCCTGCGAAGACCCTGCCGACACCAAGCAAGCTGGTGGGGATGATGGATGCGAGGGGCTGCTGGGTGGTCGTGCAGCACCTCGCGCTCGGCTGGCGGTTCGCATGCTGTCGCGTCCAGCGCCAGCTCCAGACGCGCCCTGACGACCTCCAGGCAGCGGCCCTTTGCGCAATCTTCTATGTTCCATCATCCATACAGGGCGTCATTTAACGGGAGACGCCCAGACCCGGCGCCGTTTCATGGTGAGGCCATATGCACAAGCGGGCCCTTGCACCATCAATTTTTGCCGAGGCACGGCGCTCACACCTCTTGGCAAGGTGCTGACTGACTGCGCGGACGTAGCGGTTTTGTCACATAACCGTCACGTCAACGGGCGATGGGGTCGTCACTTCCCTACGCCATCATCGACATGATTATTATTATTATTATTATTATTATTACGATAACAGGGAGCGCTTGGGTGGTTCCAGCAGGTACTTAGTTTTTAATGTGTAGTTTTTGAACAACTGAATAATTAACACGTTCTCGATAATAAATTACACTAGTTGTAATTAATGTATCATCTAGGTGATCTGAACCGACCATATTGCAGATTGCGCAAATGCCCGATGTCCTGCAATTAGGGTTGCCAGATGGTCGTGATTCGTCTGGATTCTTCCGACATTTTAAATGATCTCCAGACTCCTGACAAAACTCCAAATCTCCAGACAAACAGCTTTTTTCACATCACAGCTGCTTTTTATTTAATAAAAGCTGAGTTAGTAATTGGACTGAAATTTTAAGTAAATTTTTTGGATTTTAAATCTACTGAATAAAATTACACGTGGCAACCTAAAAATTAAGTGTACTTAAATTAGTTATGTCAACAACGTTGAGTCTTTTTGTAGCCTATTCATTTAAAAAATAAACATTTTATTAAACATTTTTGATTATAATATTTGTTTCTTCCGACAATAACCCCAAAATCCCGACATTTTTTGGCAAATTTTGGTCTTCCGATTTGGAATGCTTGGGTTGCTTCCGATCTGCAATGCGATAGTGTAACTGGTGGGAATCGGTGTTGACTTTATTCTAGTGGTTGTGTGTTGGTTTCATTGTATTGTATAAATGTATCAGTAAATCATTATCGATTATATGCCGATAAAAAAAAAAATATATATATATATATATATATCGATTATATTATTTTATGTTACAAAGTGTATCATAATGAATAAACATAACGCAGGTCAGAGTTGATCGGTTGTTGATTATATTTTTATACTTTTTTAATGTGCCGTTAAGGACTTACGTGATTTCAAGCGAGACGTTTTATTTCCAATCACTTGTCTTTGTCTCAAACAACGTCCTCTGCAGTCAAATAGTTTTACCAAAATCTAAACTAAAATAATATTCCAGTTTAAGAAAACCTCAACAACATCTATCCTGAGCTGTGATGATCTTTAGTAAAAAACTAGGTAACGTGAAATTATTGTTTTTGTCATCGGTTTTTAATACGACATAAACATTTCAGATTGTTCAAACGTCTGGAAGCCACGCGTTTCAGCCGATGCGTCTAAAGCTAATACAATATACCTATCATGCCTAATTATGCACTATGGTCTATTTTATATACAAATACGAAGCTTTAGGGTGGCCCGAGGGCTACCGCAGTCGCAAGTTAACCTACTGTCGCTGATATTACAAAATAGTAGTATCGTTGTATTAGACGCATCGTCTGAAACGCATGGCTTCCAGACGTTTGAATAATACTAGCCGCTAGTTGAACGGCGTCGTTTAGTAAAAAGGCTATACTGTTACTGAAAGACTAATTAAGCTAGTTAGATGTGACATATACTTACATACTGGTATACTTATAACAAATTATGTTTTGCAAAGCGTTCATAAATGTAGAATTATCTACTACGTTTTGATATTTTTTTATAGAATAAATATGGCAAACGAGCACACGTGGATTCCATGTTTGCCCATTTAGTTTTAAAACTAAAGAGATCTGTGGTTAGTGGTTGTCTACTTGCTATTGTGTTAAAAGTTACTGGTAAATAGGCTAGTTACTGACTTTTTTATAGAATAAGGGTGACAAACGAGTCCACCTGATGGTAAGCGGATGCTGTGGCCTATAGACATTTACATTTAACCTCGATTAAGAATCAAAATGAAGATGCGTTATTACCCTTAAGGACTAAGATGGAATGCCTCGTTTCCAGTAAAACGGGTCTCCGGATCTACAGTCACCATATGGAACACAGCAGCATTAAGCTACTATTTCACGCTGGTATTCTGTGAGAGCGTGGTCCTTCGCCGGTCGAGCCGACCCATTCATGCTACAGCCATAATATAGCTGCAGCGTGGCTCTACTATTAAATTCGTTATACGATATGATGTAGACTTAACATCCAAGCGTAAGTAGCAAAATAATGGGTGCGTTTGGCAGAAAAAAGCGCTAGCAAGCGCTTTTAAACAAAATGGCGATCGTAAGCGTTAAGTGCTGTCAAAGCGTAAGTAGCTATTTTCCTCTAGGACACGATGTTAGTTTTAACCGGGGAACCTAACCTAATTTAAATATATGTTTGTAAAGTATTCATATTAAAAACTTACCAATCATGAATTTTTAATAACATGTATATGTTTATTCATGTCATTATATTACTTAAAACTAATATTGCACAAAAGAACTTATAAACTCTACTTCAAAACAAACAAATTAAATAAGCAAAATGGCGGATCAGTCGGCAAAAGTCGGCAATGTGTCAGCGCTACTGAAGTAGCAATCGTGTCCTGGCCGAAAACTATTTTAGCGCTTGTAAGCGCTTGCTAGCGCTTTTTTCTGCCAAACGCACCCAATATCTATGAAAACCTATAGTATATTGACATTTCTTGATTAAGTAAATAACTATTATTAAATAATAACACTTGTAAGTCATGGATTGAATGAAACCTAACGATTTTCGTGAGGGCACAGATTAAATAATGTTACTACGTAAGAGTTGGGTCCATCGTTTTATCTTTAAATTAAAAAAATCGTTAAAAAGTTTTTACTTTTAAAAGTGAAGTGACGAAAAAAACTTACAGTCCATCTGGTGGTAAATAGCCTGCAACCGACTTCAAATAATGAAGGCTACATGCATCTATAGCCTTCATTATTTGAAGTCGGTTGATGTCACCTCTGAGGACTAAGATGGGATGTCACACAGCCAACGTTATAGTGGCGCTCTATACCCTTCAGACCGGAATACAGTAATGCAAGCAGTGCCTAAATGGACTCCTTGGCAGAAATGGAGTCAAACCAGTAGATAATGAAATTTATGTATAGTGATGAACTGGTGAAATAGTAAAGAAAAATTAATACACTCCTTTTTTATACCGATAATTTGTTTTGTAAGAAAATATCCCTATTTTGTTTTCTGTTTCCCAGGTTCAAAGTCAACGTGACGGACAGTCCTACGATCTCAGTCAGCCCACCTCATAGTCTGGATTACGTGTGCCAAAAGAGTTGCGGCAGCCTCAACGGAAGTGTAACGCCAAACGGAATGTTGTCAAGCAAATCTACAGCAACCACCGTCCTGTTGAGCCCTGGGTATCTTCAGAGCCGCTGCCAATGCAGTCAATCGATTAAGGTTCGCTTATTCACGATTCTTAAAACAACTATCAATCGCTAAATATCGATACATAGCAATTTTAGAGTTAATACATAAAAAATATTATTTTTTTAAATTCTTAATCATCTAATAACCTTTCTCATTTTGGAAGGCACCAGAGTTTTACCTATTTCTAATGATAAACTGATAAAAAGATACTGGTGCATGTAATGTACTGCTGAGTAATTAGAGTAAAGGAACCAGTTTTGCTGTGAAGCGTTCAAACTCAGTCTTCCTAAACTGACACACCTTTTGCGTCCTTCGTTTTAAATCTTTTGAGTGTTCGTTCACCACAAACGTATTATTAAAAAATTTATTATACATTGTGATATTGATTTTAGATATTCAAAAATAATGGCCTTCATCATAAAGACATATTTATTAAATAAAATATTCTAAAACCCAATTAAAAGATCGTTAACATACATATATTATGTACTCACGATAATAAAATGTTGCGGTTGGGAACTCGCCAAGTTATTTCCCAAAGTTGCCAAGCATGGCAACTTTGGGAAATAACTTTGTATGAGTCAACTTTTTAAGGAGGCCTACGTTCAATGGTAAACTTTTGGTAGGCTGCAATGAATAAAAGAGTAACAATCGATTATAATCCCTATTTCATTTTAATTAATTTACCTTTTTTTTTATATTTTTACATATACATATTCAATAATATAAGAACATTCGTATTATAAGTACGTCATGTGTCAGTGCACATTAAATAAAAGAAATCATACGACGATGTTATTCAGAGCGTAAGTGAAGTGGCGTTAGCTATGCCGGCAGCGCCGGGCTGGAGCGAGGAGACGGCGGGACATGCGTCCGATGGGCTCTCGTGGCGGCGCCTGCACATGTCCCGGGCGAAGCTGAAAGCCACCGCCACTACCTCAGAACTATTATCAGGTGAGGCGTTACATTCATGGTTCGTAATGTCTCACAAAACACATCAATGCACACCATATTCTATATTATTGTTACAAGCTTAGGGTTCATGACAATAAAAACTGCCGATTGACTTACTTACCACAATTGACACTCTAATTACCGAATACCAATTACAACTTAAAACACAAATAATAAAATACAATTCGAAGTTATATCGCTTCGAAATATTCGCTTGTAATGCCAATTCAATGCTGACTTGGTCGCAGTCCTCACTGGTCTTATACAGGCCCTCTTCTACTGAATCCTCTAGAATGTTCGAGTACATACCGGTCCCGACTGACTAATAATAAAACACAATTGTACTACTGAGTTCGTAATTATATTGCTTCGAAGTATTCGCTTGCATCGCCAATTTAATACTGAGTCGACCGCGGTGCTACCGGCCTTATATAGGACCTCCTCTACTAAAACATCTAGAATATTCGAGTACATACCGGTCCCGTCTGACTAGGTGTAGAAAGTTCTGGTATGGAATTTTCTAAAAATCTCTCCTATATCTGCTTCTGGATACTAGATGGCGCTAGTGGTAACTCACCGTGTATCGGGCATTAATTATAGCGCGCAACAAGATCTATCATCCCTGCTAAGCACACACATCCCAAATACACAAACTCATTCACTTACTTAAATAACACCCATAAATATATTTTCGATTTTATTCCTTTCTCTTAGTTTACTTATGACATTTTATTCTTAAAGCACAAGATCAATGAGCACTTAAAAATATTGTGTATTTCCGACGTTTAAAAGTGTTTTAGTTACCACTATAATATTATTTATTTATTTCTCTCAGCCAGTTTGAATCTATTCTTCTTTTACGGTATTATTAAACAATTGTCTGTCTTAAATCTTACAATTAGTTTTTAAATTATTCTGTCAAGAAATTCTTAGAAGCAACCCGGACTCAGGAATTTGGCGGTGTTTTTCCCCTTGTCTAGGAGGAAAGCGCGTAAAGTCGTTTATCCTATTTAATTATTTATCCTAGTTAAATCCTATTTAAATAACCGGAAGCAAATTGTAGAAATTGAACACTTCAACCAAATTACAAATGAAGTAATAAAAGTTCGTTCTGAAGAGAAACACCTAACTAGTTCAATCCCACAGGGCAGCGTCTTAGGCTGTGTGCTGTTTCTTATTTATGTAAATGACCTGCCAAAATGTTTGTATAGAGAATCAACACTGCCAGTATTATTTGCAGATGACTTGTCAATACTTATAAAAAGTAACGACAACATTAGCTCTGAAGCCCTTATCTATGATACACTTCATAATGTCACTCATTGGCTTGATAGCCATAATCTAGAAATAAACCTTAAAAAGACAAAAATTTTACAATTTCGTTCATATAATAAACCACCCCTGGAAATTAATTTTCAATTACAAAATACCCTAATAGAAGAGGTAGACTCGTATAACTTGCTTGGACTTAATGTAGATACACATTTAAACTGGAAGTCACATATTGAAAAAATTAAATGCAAGCTCTCTAAATTTACATATGCGCTTTATCAAATTAATTGTAGCACAAATTTAGAAACTGCACTTTCAACATATTACGCGTATGCCTTTTCGTGGCTAAAATATGGCATTATCCTTTGGGGTAATAGTGTTAATGCAGATGAATTGTTCATTTTACAAAAAAAATGTGTTAGGATACTTGCCAGAATTGATAACAGACATAGCTGTCGACCCTACTTCATTAAATTTAAATTATTAACCTTAGTTTCTATTTACATAAAAGATATAAGTAATTTCGTATTTAAAAATAAACACTTCTTCACCCAGATAAAAGAAACACACAATGTAAATGCTAGGCATAAACATAGGTTATAGTTACCCCCATCTAGAACCAAAATGCTCAATTGTAGTCCATATTACATGGCAATTAAAATATTCAATAAACTACTCATAAATATAAAATCTGATGTAAAATTAAGTTCATTCAATAAAAAACTTCATGATTATCTTATATCCAAATGCTTTTACACGCTTACTGAATTTTTTGATAGTTAAATACTAAGTATTAAATAACATTTTATTTTCAAAATAGCCAAATATAATATAATGATGTTACATAGTTATAAGTCCATTTAATTATTTTATTGTATATTACTTGTATATTGCAACGCCCGACAGGGTCTATAATGGTCACTGTAACTGCTAATGTACTGTACATTATAGAAGCAATAAACGATTTGAAATTGAAATTGAAATATCCTGCGGCTGATCTCTGTCCAGTCATATCGGATTGCCGGCCCATCGGACTATGAGAGTGTAGGAATAAGGAGTGTACCTGTGCTTGTGCACAAACTCGTGCTCTATAATAGCGCATATAGCTAGTTTCCGTTAAGCGTAGCTGCCGTGACCGAAAATCAGTCTGGAAGACTATGATTATTTAAAAAAAAATCTAAAGTAGGTTGATATAGGTCCATGACAATAATTACTAAGAAAAAAAGGAATTATGAAAATCGTACAAAGTGCATCGATGTAAACGTTCGCGGCCGCAGGTTTCGCGATGGTAGCGATGGTGGAATTGCAAATCAACGAGCCGACGAACGTGCCCGAATGGCTGTTCGTGATGTTCGCGGTGTGTACGACGGTGCTGGTGGCCGTGCACATCTTCGCACTGATGATCTCGACGTACCTGCTGCCGAACATCGACGCGGTCAGCAAGATGGAGACGCCCGGCGGGCCGGCGCGCGCGCTGCGCGACTCGCCGCACGAGCGTATGCGCGGTTTCATCGAACTGGCCTGGGCGTTCAGCACTGTTTTGGGTGAGTACGCGCTAAATTGCACAAGTTTCCTTTAACATCTGCGCAGTTTCAAGTAAGTATTAGAGTTAGACGCTAAATAGCGCTGTGGATATGTTTGCGGTTACTGGTTCGTTACTAGCACTAACAAGTAATATCGAGTTTCTCAGAAGTCTACATCAAATCTAAAACAGGGCTACTACTCAGTTTAAATATATAGATTAGAGAAATAGTTAAAAACATGTGTGTAATTCACACGCAGTAGAAGCGAACCTACAGACTACAGAAAATTAAACTTCGAGGGAATATGAAGAGTATAGGAAACACTGTATACTATATGGCTGGGATGGCGAACAAATGGTACGCCTGCCATCAATGGCACGCGACTCAATATTTTGGACAGGCCACCAACCACAAAGTTCAGTATTAAGTATTATATAACGAGCGAACGCGTGTGATTCTAGTTAGGTACATCTTGCAAAGGACTCATAGTTCGTTTTATCATCATCATCATCATAATCATTACAGACCTTCACAAGCCTTATTCTATAAAAAAAATAGTCAGTTTCGTTGACACAACCGTAATTAAAAATGCATTTGTTTTATATTTAGGATTTTACAACTCCGATATAAGTTATTTGTCATCCAAACTGCCACAACGGAAGTCACACTAATGTTACTTTAATTTGAATTACGCGTATACCTGAAACATTTATTATTACAAAATACATTTTGCAATGTATCATATTAAATGTCTCAACTCAAAACTCTTTATTTATTTTTTGTAGTAAATAAAGAGTTTTGAGTCGATAGTATTTATACCCCTATTACACTACCCTGAATCAGGTTCACTACGCCCTGATTCAGGATGGTGTAATAAGAGAAAAGGAGTAAGGGTCCCTTAATTAAGTAATTAGGGCGTCAAAGTAGACCCGGTCTGCAGTGCTCTTTCACTATGCAGTGTAATAACACTAAGAGTTAGGGCACTTATTGGATGCGCGACTAAGGATGCAAACGATACGTCAATTCTTTCAAACGATATATCGTGCATAAACATGGTTCTTCATGAGCTATGTTTTATGAAAGATGTTTTACCGTCAAAGGTTACGAAATAACCAACTATTCAAAAGTATAAAATTCCGTATGTTTAAAGTTGTAAACGACGATTATCATGAATTTTATGTTGCCAAAAAATGAATTTTCGAATTAAAATATGTCCAAAGTTAGATAATGTCTAAATTTTTAAAGTTAGAAGGTTTACGAGTATTTATCAGAACTCCCACAACCCTAACTCAATCCCGAAAATTTTAATTACGAATCAACAAACAGGCGAATGGTCTTCCAGCCGAAAATAAATATACTTGAACTTCAGAAGTACAATTTTCTTCTATCGGTAATTCCATTTTCGATGTAAAATTTTAGTTATTTTTATTGTGATAATTAATTAAGACAAGTTAACAAATATTGAAATTGGATTGAAATTGTTTTATTCATTTTCTTATTAATAATTATATTGTTTGAGCTTTAACTTAATGAATAGCTTAACTACAGTCTCATAAGTTAATAGTTATTTTGTAATGGAAATTATTTTATCGGCTTACGGTACTTCGTATTTTTTCGTTACAATCATTTTTCTGAAATATTGATTTTTATGGATGAACGGTTATTCACCTCTTTGTATTTCGGTATAGTAAATGTATTCAAAAAATGCGGTAATACTGAAGGTAACATATGAAACTACCATAAAAAATTAACGCACCACATCATAAGAAATAAAACTAAAGCAGAAGACGAGTTTCATATATTACATGTGGGATATCATGAAAGGGTTATTTCCCGAGCTTCATAGCCTAGATAAAACTATTTGTCTATCGTGGCAACTTCGGTATCCCGTAAGCGGTTATTTTTAGAGGCTGGACTGAGGCACTTACTAGGCACCAGGTTGTCAAAATTGTTATTTTAAAATTCAATTCGAAAGAAATAAACGTAAAAGTAAATTAAATATTTAATTAATTCTTGCTTTCTGATAATTATTCGATAAAATTAAATGTGTAATGAGCGATGTTGCATTCTATAGATGTGCTTACTTGGAAAAATTACGACTCAAGTTAACTCAAGTTCAAATTCACACAACTCGAACTAAACTCGAGTTACCCAACTAGAGTTAGCAGGACGAAACACAGTAAACGATTTGTTACAATTACTTTAAAAATATCGATTCAATAAAAATATATACTTTTTACACTTGTCCATCCCTACCACTGAGTAAGGGCGTAAAATCAGGGTAGTGTAATAAATGACGTCCCTAACTAGGTGCCACGCCCACCCTTCATTCAGGGCATAGATACAGGGTGGTGTAACAGAGGCTAATATAATAATAATAGTAGGCACTATTATTTGCCCCATAATCACGAAGTCAAAATTATTTTATGGCTTAAACATTTCTTTAGAAAAATGACACGTTGATAGATAAAGGTTCGCCACCCCTGCCTTATGATATCTCATTCTCTCGCAAGAAAAATCCTATAGATGTATATGTTTGTCACTTTTTCACAAAGATTCTAAAGAAGTTTTCACTTTAAAAAAATTCACCTGAGCCCCAACCACCGATGTCTGGTGCTCGGAAGGTTATTAGCCCCATTGACATTTATACAATAAAAGATAGTATCTATATATTCATTATTTTCATTAAAACCCTTCAAAATTCACTGCTCAACTAGTAGGGGGAGTGTTTGAGTTGTTATCAGAAAGATGATGCTGCCTTTCATGTTTCAAAATCCCTCTGTCGCCCACAAGATGATATGATATGACGATTATTTTATGCTATATATAGCAGGTAATAAATTACCTCACTACACTGCAAAAACAATATAATAATGCTTTTTTTCAGGACTGTTTTTATTCCTGGTGGAGATCGCAATCCTTTGCTGGGTGAAGTTCTGGGACTACTCGTTCGCCGCAGCGACGGCAGCCACCGTCATCGTTATACCAGGTATAACATACAATGTCCTATATATTTGTAGGGTAAGTTTTGTAGCGTGTTCGTTTCTTTAACAACCCTGTCCGGCTTTTTATGTATATTGAGTTAAGAACTCTATTCCTCAACAACACAGCTTTAGTTATAGGTATGCAACTTCCACTTAGTTGTTTTTTTTTCCTTTATTAATGGACTCGTACTTTTGTATATTTGCCAGCGTCTACTATAATAAGAAATTATCCTTTATAATAATTTGTATAAAAACTTCTTCAGATGCGTTGCGATGTATCGCAGTACACCATACTGTGTCACGAATGGGTTCTGACGGTTGATTGCAGGATATTTATCCAAGTTAATCTCTTCTTCTTCTCATCGGACAAAGACCAGAGGTGTTACACATTGGACGCTTCGCGTCACCGATCTGGATATTTTTTCCTCCCGGCATTGACCGTGGACGCCGATGAAACCTACGAAATAAGGCGATGAATTATTTGTTTATGCCGAATTCAATCGACAGATGGCTCAAATTAGCTTTACAAACCAGATTCTCGAAAAAGGCAATGGAAGCTTTATTTGGAACGTATTTGTTTACTTTTTCACGCTACTTATATAAAAAGGCCGGTGTGTCACGTTCTAAAAGATTTTGTCGCAGCAGTTTAGTTTAGCAGTTTCCCACTGCGATGCTTAAGGTGATACCCCGACCAAAACCTTGCGATAGTGCGTTTTTCAGAGACTATTATCCGATTACTTATAAGAAATAAACTACATCTAAAAGCACATTATTAATGTTCGATATCCTATAATCACATTCCACGTTCTAATTTGTTTTTATGTGTTATAAATACATTTAAAATCAACTTTTAAAAAATGACTAAAATTTTTGATTACATGCATCTGTTGCTAAAGGCAACGCTCTAATCATTTGAGGATTACGCTAATGGATAGATAATTTAAAAATCTATATTATTCACGTTTTATTTAACTCCTTAGTTCGCTTTTCTTTTTTAATTGAGATAATTCCAAAATTTGGGCGTATTTCTTACGCGATATATTGTAGCGAGAGCGCGTGGATTGCATAGTACCGAACGCTCAGGGTCGTTCGCTAAGGGTAACGCCTTAAGTGCAAGGTGGCGAACTGCACGTGTTTTTGAGATATTTAATATGCAGCTTTCCTAACGATGTCTTACTTCAGCGACGAGCACGTGATTGACGTGATGACAATGTGATCAATGCAATTGAAAATTTCATTAGTGTTGGCAATAATCGAACTGCTGCTTCGGTAGTATGAAATTTACAGTGAGCACTCAGCCCCTGGGCCACCAGGCAATTTAAGAGGGATGTAACAACTCAACTTCAGCTTACTGATCATTTGTCTGTGGCCATGTCTGTTACTCTGATTCTACGGCGGATATTTTATTTCGAATTCTATCAGGCGGAGAAACTCCGAAGATAACCCTCTCCTTGAGAGTTGGTGAGGAAGTGTTTATAGAGAAGATGATGGTGATAAGAACGTATTGGAAATACATTTTAGGTTGCGGATGAACACGCGGTTAGGACAGAATCTCGAAAGAAAACTTAATCTAAATTTAAATTTTTATTAAAGAAATGATTGTGTGTGAGCTCGGTAATTTTAGAAAAAAAAACTTTTAATAGGTTAAAAAGTAAAAATTTTATTCAACCTCAAAGCACTAAAAAGAATAAAATGAATTCACGTTCTGAATTCCGTGCTAAAACTTTATGTATAATAAGAGTATTAATGCCCCGACATCAGACACGTTCTGATTTGGTGTATTTTGTTCTCTTCACACCTTTGAAGTCGGATTTTACATTTTATTAAAAGAATCATTTTTGACTCTTTTGAGTGAACTAAGAAATATCATCTAGCTCAAGGTAACACGAGCTTAAGCTTTCTCTTACGGCCACCAAAAAAGACTACGTCTCAGATCCAAACATCACCAACAACACGCTTTTGCCGTTACATGCGTACAATACAACCGTTTATTTTTAATACAATAACTCATATTCATTAGTATAATTTCATATTTTTCTACTTTCAGTTCTCATAGTCTTCGTTGTGTTCGCGATCCACTTCTATCACTCTCTGGTGGTTCAGAAGTGCGAGACTTCGGTCCAGGACATCGAACAATTGGAGAACATGAAGAGAGATCTGGACACCGCTACTGTCAAAGTCAATATGTTTTAAAAATAAACGATGAAGAATAAACATAAAAGTATGAAGGTGTAAGGATTAAAAGGAACTGTCATCGTTCTAAAGTTACTCTTCTTGGATCAACAAATTACAATATTTGTCGAAATTTCCTAAGAAGGCCTATCTTTGTAAGACTATAGCCGTTTTAACCTTGAAACATATTGAAAGACCGATAAGTCAGTTAGATGTCTCGTGAGAAAAGATTTCTATGTTGAGGATGTTCTCGAATTAAAACGAAAGAAAACTTAAGTTGCACTAATTGCTTTTATGTAGCATAAAAGCAATTAGTGCAACTTAAGTTTTCTAAAGATAAAATAAATCTCGATCTACAAATAATAAATAATTACCGAGGGAGTAGGCAGTGGAAAGTGCAGCGAGTTACTAGTAACACGCTAGGCCAATAAATAAGGCTCTAGGTGAAAATTGTGAAAGGAGTGAATATGGCTAGCCCATCGTCTAAACAATTGTAATACAATTTTCCACTAGTCGGCTTTACATATAGCACATTATTTCTTATAGTAAGTCTCAATAAACATGCGACCTATAAGATCCACACCAACAAGTGGCAAGTCAATATTTTGAACCAATATAGAAGGACATTAGACATTATTACTTGTATAATGAGTGGAATTTTTTACGTTCTACACCGATTAACGGTTTTACAAAAAAAACTTAAAAAAGCTTTTGTTTAAAGCTTTTTCGTAAAACCGTTAAAGTTTTAACTTTAAGCTGCACTTCAGTATTCGTAAAAAATAAGTACCTACCATAAATATACGCCTTTCTAACACCAAAAGAATTTTATATTGTAATATAGTCGAAAGTATAACTACTTAGGAAATCTTTTTGCTGCAATTACTTCTACTTATATAGGAATAAATATACCTACCACTAAGCACAAATCAATAACTATACATAATAGCAGAAATAATTGTAAATCTAGATTTCATTATTTTCAAATCATTACACAATAAAACGTGTTCTCTTGTGATTTATATGAAACGCATATTTACGATACTACAATTATGTACCGATTTGAATTCTTAATTAAATAGTTTTAATTTCATATGCCGGCACTACACGTATCTATACTCCATGTTTGGACGGTTGGAAGATCTTGTAAGACTCAGAAGGGCTAGAACCCAGAGCCGCTAGCCAGTTATTAAAAAAATATCTTGTATTGCCAGCATATACTTGTACTTCACATGTGCCTTGATATTATGGAGTAAACTTTTGGATTTTTGAATTTTTTAATGATTTTACATACTGACTTAAATATGAACCTTTTACTTGTGAATGTTGAATGCTTAATTTTAAAAGATTTATTAATAGGTAATTTTTATTTAAAAGGAATAATTCTGAATATAAGACTTATTTAATTAGAAATTAAGAAACTAATGCTTCAGATGTCAAATACTATTTATTACGTAGAGTTCACACAAACAAAACAAGAAATTCATTCAGTTCACCATTAGATTTAACCTATTCCTGTATTTATATTATATTTAAAGCAATAATTTTAATCATTTCGTGTGATATTTGTTTGTAAATAATTATAAGACATTAACTAACTAATTTATATATCGGATATTAATAGATTTTTATTCTTATACCAATGCTTCCCGCTTTTATGGAAGGTACTGAAAGATTTCACGTTTATCGGATACCCTATAAAGATAATGTAAAAAAGGTAAAAAAGTAATAATATAGTACTTTTTACCATTTTTGGATTAATTACTTTTGTGCCCATACGGCCACACGCTTGTAAGATCTTATTAAATTATAAATCTATATTTCATATATTGTCGTAAAGATTTAGTTTAGTAATTTTCACATCTTTAAAATATGGTAACAACTTAAGTATGTAGACCAACCACAAGTAACAACAAATCTATCAGTATTGTAAGAAATTATAATGATTGAACTCAAATTCTCATAAAGTTCTATATTCAAGTATTCGTCGAGTGTTTCACATTTTGAATAAATAATCGATTCTAACAAATTAGTTTTATTGTATTTGTCTATGACTAAAATTTAAATCTACACGTAGACATATTATGAGGAGAATTGGAACAGTCGTTGAATTACGTGTTCGTGGAGGTACGGCGTATGAAAAATTCATCAACCCATTATGTCCAATGACTGGTGTAGCATATGGCCACGAGAAAGGCGTAAAAAGATTTTATAAAATCTAATATAAGACGCGATGAATCTGGTATACTTACTGCGATTATAAATTCCACTTGTCAAGAGCGGCAATTGGAGCAAATCCTTTCTGCCGTAGAACAGGTACAATGCCAGCAGTGCACTTTTAATTTAAAAGAGTAACGTAACGTAAGTAAGTATACCCACGAGCTCATATCATCTTGTTGGTATCAACAAACCTGGATACGGGCGGCAGCGTCTTCCTAATACTGGCTGCCGACTAATAGTGGCTGCCGACCCGCCTGCAAGCGTTGCAACTATGTCTAATACAGAGACCTATGAGACAATTTACTGGGAGGTCTACGTTCAACAGACTTGAGAGGCTGTAACAGTAATGATCTTACAGTTTCACAGTATGTCTACAGTTATTTTTATCGATTATTTTAGTATTATCGATACAAACAATTTTAGGCAGAGATTTAAATATACATATTATATACTATAGTTCATAAAAGACAGCTTGATCTCTGCGACAGCTGTCGGTAAAAATCACGCCTATGAAGTCCTGAATTTCTTAGTTCTTTATGGGCATGCACTAATTAGGTCGGCATGCCATAAAGTATGACATTGACAGGTACTGTCTGTACTACTAAGAAATTCAGGACTTCATAGGCGTGATTTTTACTGACAGCTGTCGCAGCGATCAAGCTATCTTTTATGAACTATATTTAAGGTGCGTGTGTGTCGGAGTAAAATGTGCCGCTAGTCGTTATTTGTGAGGTTTTTAGGAGCCATCTACTTGTTATTAAAAAGATATGTCAAGTAATAAAAAATCTATTAAATTTCTACATAATCTTGATTCCATAATAGACAATACCAATTATTTTACACTACAACTAAACCACAGAAATGCGAAATAATTATTGATAACATGCATCTCCTCATAAAGCACGCATTATTCGGGATAAGCAATTTCTTAATGAACATTTTGATCAATTAAATTTTTATCGTAGGACTAATATTCGATTTTATAAAAAAAATATGTTGAAATTTAGGCGTATTTCTAATACGATTTATTGTAGCGAGAACGCGTGGAATGTACCTATCAGGGTCGTTCGCTAGGAGTAGGTAGCGCCTTAAATGTCTTTGACTGTCCTAATTGTGACAGTCTGTCCCGCCCACTTTGAGTTTCCTCTTGTTTTTATATTCAGTGCGACAAACTAATCAAGAAAAAGCATTTTGGCCGCTTGCAATTACAAGCGCCATCTAGCGGCGGATAGCCGAAGACTCTCGTTCTGATAATTCAAATTTGGACCACCGGACCACCATTCTATTGTGCACTAGGTACGGTCTCGATAGTTCGAATAATATTCGATTGATTCACAACTCGATTCAGAGGGGAATAGGCCGGAATGCATTGTTGTCGATCCCGCTCGCTCTAATTCAACATCAACACTAGTAACAAAGAATCACAGTGTTTCTATCCAGCGGCATCAATAGTAATCTCATGAAATTCAATGTTGCTTCCGATAGTTTGTCGCTTTTTGAAGGGTTTGTTAAACTTAAGTAAATATTGCATTTTTTGTACTTACGTCATTGTAGTCATATAGATGCGATATTACGTTACAATTTGTGATTCACATCAGCGACGGCACAAATTACAGCTTTCCTTAGAGAGTAGTATATTCCTTGAAGTACCTACATCAATAAATAAGGGAAAAGGTGCGACACAGAGTAATTACTTACATAGCGACAGGTTGAGCGCTGCGATTATGAAGTGTAGAAGTAAGGAGTACCAACTCCCATAGTAGAATAGTTGAAAAAGTGGTCATCTGTGAGCAGTAAATAACAGATCAAAAACTCTCCACAACAGCGCTGGAGTAGCTACTGGGATGAAATGAACTTAGCAGTTGTCGCCGGTTTAAGTGTGCTGCTAAACTGATCAGTAGCCCTAAAATCTAAAATAATTTTATATAGTAAATAAAACCTCGAAAAAGTCGTCTATCTCACTAATATTTCTCGGCACGTTCTTTAAAATTTACCCTGTTGTTATAGTGGCGCCACCCTTATTTAACGGTTTTCTATGGACACTTTAATACAGTCTGTACTCCTTACTTCTACACTCCATAGGTTGAGCGCTGCGATGGTCAATCTGGCTGTACAACCTGACAATGAGGTCGACGCCATTTAAAAATGAGAATACTCAACAGATCTCAAAGCGGGAAGTTAATTTCTTGGAAAAATGTAAAGGCTAATGTTTTTTTTTCTGAACTATTTTATATTAATTAGATTAAAAATAAATAAACAATACCACAAATATTCATGAAAATAGTTTTTTTTTAAAAAAAGAGGTAATAATGTTAAAAAATAAAAAGCAAATCACAAACGCATTGTTTTGTTATTGTATTAATATAATACTCTAAAAACTGATAAACTTTTATTTAAAACCAATTTCTCAATTAAATGACATTGTGTAACAAAAAACTTCACCTGCTTGTCAACTAGCGACATCTGGTGAGCGTAAGATTATTAGCCCTCAATAGACAATTACGGGAAATTCTCCCGGCAACGGGAAAGATCTGCGTCCAAGAGTGAAATTTTATGGACTGATGAAGAAGACGAAAGTAAGATGGGCATTTGTAAAGTTTTAACATGAAAATAAAAATAAAGTTGTATATATTTTTCTAATTTATTATTTAACAAAATACACTTGTCAGAATCATATTTTCATCCTTATCACCGTGCACACTAATACAAGCTATGTTTAAAATAAATGTAATCAATTACCAGAGTATATTATTCACTATGCATGGATTAGAACTTTCAGTCATTACATAGTATCGCCAGTATCGCAATAAAAAGCTACGATATTTACAATTCAACAATAGTATACGGAAAAACAGATTTTTGTATAGTCTATTCGCTTTTTTGCCTTTGTGTCACGCCACCTTGGCACGTGCCGCATTTTGTCAAAAGCGCCGCTGCGACATCAAAGGTCGCCGCGTGCGGCGTACACCCGCAGGAATATTTCACATTTTAAAACGAAGTGAAATGTTGTTTTTATTAACTCTGCTACTTAAACAGATAATGTTTTTTCGTCCTTGAGAGGACAGTGAAGTGCTTCAAGATGAAATGTTGTGTATACCAATAACAAAAATTCTATTTAAGAACAGCTTAAAGATCTTACAGTTGAGTAACAATGTACTTGTGCAGAGCAACGGTGGCTATACCGCGGGGCAGGGCGCGGCCCGACCTTGTGCTTTCGCACTTCACCAAGTCATAGAGAATACATGCGGTTGGCGCGTGTTTAGTACTTGTAATTTTAAGCGCCCTTTTCGAAAAATATAGTAAAAATATATATAATGGTGAGTTACTGTTATAATTATATGACTTACTAAGCAAAATTGAATTTAAATGACAGCTATGCTTATGTTTCCAACATTTTTTTTGTTAATAAAATTGTTTATGTGAATATGTTACATAATCAAAATTAACAATCGAAAAATGAAAACATGTATAAAAAGAAAGTGTCATGAAAATACTTGGCAGTGCAATACTTCTAAATAAATTTTTCTAGTAGTAAGTAATAAAAAATAAAAATGATTGTTTAATAAACGTTTTTAACTTATAAGTATGTAGGTACATATTGCTAATAAATGATAATGAGTATTACAATATATAAAATCATTTTATTTTCATTTTCGTGACAATCCCTAGCATAGCCTCGTGAATACATGCGCGGGTGGTGGCTCCACCGGACATCAAAGGCGTTTCACAACTGAGTTATAACTGTGATTTTAGTATAGATTTAGAACGTGATGACGTTGAATGCCTTAGTTTTTTCTTGAAGATACTTAGATTTTTTGTATTCGTTAAATTTGATAGCTGGATGTCTGATAACTGTGGTATAACTGGACAGTTCTAGTAATTTAAAGGTTTTCACTCATTACTCAATCTTTACTAATCCTTACTCAATAGAATTCGAAAAAAGAAAATCGGTAATAATATAAAATTGTAAAAATAAGTAGGTATACAATATCTAAGAAATTTTACTTAAATATTACCATCCAATACAATTCTTCTCTTCATAACATAACATTCATTTCAATGCAAACTGTATTACCAGTCTTATCAATATTTTTTGCTAAAATGACTTAATCTATCACATGTAGATCTAAACATGAGTACCTAACTGGTTTTGAAGTGAATAAAGAAAATTTTTATTTGGGTTTTGTTTTCCTCTGCACGGTTGAATCATGCTGGACAAATATGCTTGCAGAAATCCTCGCCTTAACCACTTTAATACCAACATTTTAATAGGTAACAAAATTAATTAATTATGACTATAATGTGATAGAGCTGATAAATATTGTAACATAATGTAAAACCAAGAAAAGTTCAAGCATACTTGTGTCTATTTTGGATGTTTAAAGAAATGAAATTAACTATGTTAATTTTTCTACAATGAGATTCGTAAAATGAAATAAATATGAAATAAAGGGCACCATAAAGCTTTTTGAATTAGATTACTGCATAAAAACATTAATCTATTTGTATATCTCTGGCAACTATTGAAAAATATGGTAAAATAGAAAATGTAAACATATCATAATAAGTATACTATAGATATTCACTGGGTAGGTAGTTACTTACTGGTCTTTACATTATGCTACATGAATAGAAAGACTTAGCAAAGAATTTTTACTCATTATACCTTATTTATACCAGGCAGTCTAAAAACATTAAGATTTAAATTATCACATTTCAACTTCCATCCCTGAGGGCTCACTGACGAGAACTCCATTTCGTCTCTTCTGTTCTTCTTGTGGTTTTTCTTCTACTTCCTTTATCTTTTCTAAAATGTTTTCTTTAGGCTTCCAAACAACAAGAGACATGTGTGGCTTCTCCAATCTGTAAAAGTTGTTTTGAAACCTATGATTACTACTGAAAATTTTGTCTCTTGTTGTTTTACATAAGCAATCACGCCTGTCACCTAGAGGGATAGGCAGAGACTACAGCCTTCCCTTTGGCACGATACTGACACACCTCTCTCGCCTCTTCCACATTTATATACCTACGCATACATGCTCGTCGGTTAAGGGTACTCATAATTGGGCCCCTTTTCAGTAGGTCGCCAATTTGGTCGACAAATTTTCGCGTAGGGCGTCCCTTACTGACTCTGCCGAAAACTATGCTAAGGTACTAATTGAAAGGGTCATGAAAGAAACTGATAGAAAAATTTGGAATGTGCAAGCGGGATTTAGAAAGGGAATGGGGTGTACTGATCAAGTCTTTTCCATGAGCATGATCGCGGAGAAGTTTCTGGCCAAAAACCAAAAAGTTTTTTGTGCGTTCATGGACTTGGAATAGACTTATAACAGAGTGAACAGGGATATGTTATGGCAAACACTGAACTAATTCGGATTGAGCGCTGGGCTGATACAGGCATTGAAGTATCTTTATAGGGACTCCAGTGCTTGTGTTAGGATCAACGGGGTCTACCCGGACTGGTTTGGCATCCATAAAGGTGTCACACAGGGGGCTGTGTGGCTTCGCCATGGCTGTTCAACCTATTTATAGACAGTTGTTTCGAAAATTTGAAAGTTGAAGAATGCGGGTTAAGAATGGGTGAGGTAACCGTCAAATGCCTTTTGTACGCCGATGACCAAGTTATATTTGCATCGTACCGGCGGCGGAGTTGCAAATGATGGTTACATTAATGACCAGGTAGTTAAAAGAAAGGGAATGAAAATGAACGCAAGTAAGACGAAAGTTATGTTTTTGAAAGAGAAGAAAGTAAAACAGTATGTGAAATAAAAATAGAAGGAGAGTTGGTCAAGCAAGTAGATGAGTTTGTTTATTTGGAATGCGTATTTAGCACTGATGGGAGATATAATAATGATATAGAACGACGAGTGAATGCAGAAAATAAGAGTAAACACTCTATTGTGGAAAGTCAGAATGTGTCAAAAAAGGCACGCATGGCAATTCACAATGCTGTGTTAGTGCCTACTTTAACATATGGTAGTGAAAGTTGGGTATGTCAGAAGAAGCATGAGAGTAAAATAAAAGCAGTAGAAATGTGGTTGCTAAGGAGTATGTTAGGGTTGAATCTGAGTGACAGGGTGAGAAATTGTGTAATAAGAGAAGAGTGTGGTATGCAAGATGATGTTGTGACGAGGATTAAGAAAGGAATGCTTCGGTGGTTTGGTCATGTAGAAAGAATGAATGAGGAAAGAGTGACAAAGCAAATTTATGTTGCTGAAGTGAACGGCAGAGTTGGTAAGGAACACCCTTGTTGTTTTACTTCACTTATTTGCCAAAAGTATAAACTCTGTATTGCAAACCATGCAGGGCAGTATAAGAATATGCTCTACACTGGGTGTATACCTGGGTGTCTTAAGAGGCGACAGAGGGAAACTGAAATAGGGAATGGGAAGCTGCATCTTCCTGATATCTTAAAATAACTTTTTTGTTGGTTTTTTGTGGTTGCAACTAGTTTCTGTGTTTCTGTCACTTCTCACATTGCCTCCAGGATGATAATACAGTGGACCCCCAGTAATCCGACAAACATTTTGAAGGGCGGTGTCAGACTATCAAATTTGTCGGATTATATAGTAGTGCCTTAGACCCCCTAGTCTGGATTTTTTTTACAAAAGAGTACCTTGTAATCCGACAAATTACAGATCCAATGATAAGATTCTATATGTTATATATATACAGAGTACATATATATATATATGTACTCTGAAGTACTTCATTATGTATGTCAAATTTAGTAAATTAAACAACACACTCGAGAGCTTACGTTTTATTATAAAATTAACGTCGTTAAAACTATAGAACTTAGAAAAAATATGAAATAATTGTGTACAAACAAATGTACATACTAAAATAATCAAAAATTATGAATCAATCAATTTCAGAAGCATCAATGTGAGTTATCAAGATGCAATAACGCTTTTTGAGGAAAATTATGATCTTTTAACCATTTTAAAAATCAAATTTTTCAATCAGAATCAAAACATACCCTACGCATCGAGTATAATAGTGATGGGGCGTACAAGTTATAACTTGTTCAATCAGGCATTAGCGAAGATTGCCAAACAAATATACAATAATAAATAATAGACCATGTCGAATTACAGGGGGTGCCGGATTACTGGAGGTCCACTGTAAAAGATAGTGGATTCTCTTACACTGCCACTACACATCATAGAGAGAGAGAGAGGGTGAGGGAATTGGAGAGAGAGAGAGAGAGACAGACAGACAGAGATATTGTATTATTTAAGTATTTAAAATAAATTGCAGAAGTATTAAAGAATTTAAAGTCTATGCAAATGGATGTAGTAAGCATTATCACTAAGAATATTGCAGTAAAGAATGATCTCATATAAGCAAATTAAATATGTATTAAATATTACAAGTGTTAGTAACAGATTTAATAATTTATTTACCTTTCAATAAGAGAGGCAGGTAATAAAGGTTCCCCTTGTAACTTTTTAAGTTCTTCTGAAAGAACTATTTTATGGCCTTTCAATTTTTCACTAATAGATGTTGGAGTTTCCATTCCTACATCCATGTTCTCATCTGCTGGTGTTGCTAAAGAATGTGCTGTATATTCTGATGATATGTGCAGTCCACTTAAATGAGCAGCCATTTTTTCCTCAGTTATAAGTTGCTTTGCCGGACTAAACAATATTAACTGAATTTAATATGTGCTAGCCATTATTGTTTGTGTGAGTTTGTCACATATAATGAAGAGGGGAATGTACAAAACTTACAAGACTTTTAAGGGGCCGAGGGAGAATGAAGCCCCTGTGAAAGGGACCGCAGTGACTTTTTAAAAAAAAAATTTTATGCAATTTCTTAATTTCAAAAAAGCTAAATTATTTATAAAATATGCAACATAATTACATAAAATATTAATAGGTTATTTGTGGATAGTAAAAGCCCACATTAAAATAACACAAGTCTGTTCTGAATTTAAAAATCGTAATTTTACATACACGAAAAATAATTGCAAAAATGTATGTAGCATATCATAATAGTTTAATAAGTATAATATATATATATATATATATATATATATATATATATATATATATATATATATATATATACTCTATATATTATAGTTAAATAAGTATAATATATAGAGTAGACTAGCAAAACAAAATGTATCCCTCCCACAGGTTAGAACATATAAGCAATTGTATGTTTTATGCAGATAACCCCATAATAATTAATTAACTGATCACTTTTGTTAGGGAATTAAGACTATATCACTATATCACTTGTAACTGTTAGAAGTGATATTTTTTTGTTGACAGCTTATAGAAATCAGATAAATTTGTTTGTGACAAGGAGTAGAATTACTAGTACAAGTACATGTACCCTCCTTAGCAATGTGGCAAAACTTTAAGTCATGTTTGTAGTGGGTGCATTCTTGTATATGCCTATGCCTAATCTTGGACTAAGAAGGGCTATTGATGTGTGTGATGTTGACATAAAAATATATAAATAACAAATACTGTAAAAATATTAGTTCTAATAAGATTATTTAATAAAAATCTCTTTTATGGATTTTATCACTTTTTAATACACTGATTTAACTTATCTTTAATTTCAGATAATGTTTTGGATGTTTTGCAGCACCTGTGTTAATCCATGGTAATGGGGGAAACTAAGGTATTTGAGATCTTGATGTCATAATTGACCCAGGCTATCTTCATGTTTTGTTTATTTAAATTTTTGTGTAAACTTTTTCTTAGTTACTTTGCTTATTAAATTTCCTAAGGCATTATCAGTGAATTTAATAATTTATTTAGTAACCAATTATATTAAACAAAATTCATTCATATCAATAGTCCGCTGCTGAATGTAGGCCTCCCCATAGAATGCCTCATAAACAAGATATGGTTGGCAATTCAACAGGTTTCATGGATTGATTCACTGAATCCATCTAAAGTTTCAGTGGTCTAAAAAAATCATTCCTTAACACCAAATAATTGTTTCTTTTTTTAATTAATTGGACTTGGATTGATAGGCCTCAAAACTATAAAAAAATAATTTCTTGTAAATCTATATTTTTTTAAAGGAGGGGGCAAGCGAGCGGCTGACCTGATGGTAAGTGACTACTGCCGCCCATGAACAACTGCACAGCAGGTGAATTGCAGATGGTATGGATGTTATCGGGAGTATTGTAGTGATGTGCGATGGTGAAATTGAGCATCTAGAAATAGTCGCGAGAATTCCTGAGAGCACTTCCCGTGGTAGATGCGATAAAATATGCACAGAAATGCAACTTCTCTTCACAGTGCCAATGCCAATGAGTCAAGCCGATCAGAAAAAGCTTGGTCACCGATGATTCAAACTGCTTTGCGCTGGATGCGATCAAATGAAAGGAGCTGGCACTGGAGATCCCCAGCCCAGAGATGGGAACAGTATTGCATGTGCGGCCGAACCTGCACCTAAGTTGCAGGCGGTGTGCCAGCATGAAATACTGTCCCGCTCTGCTGAACACGTCAAGCTTTTTAGAAGCCAATTTGACCTTCTCTTCAAGTGACCACAAAACTGCACTGCCGATACTGGCTGAGGGACCGAGGGGAGTGCCCTGAAACTGAGGAGATACGACAAAGGAATTCTTTTTAGCGGTAAATGCGTCTTTTTGGAATTGAACTAGCCTAGATTAAGTCGCCCCCGTCCGAGACTGTGAGAGTGCTGTTTGTCACTTTCATCTATTATACTAGCAATAATTTTGTAAAATTATTTGTTAATTCTTTGAAAAATAACTTACAACTTCATATGGAAACGGAAATTAGTCTAATTGTGTAACTTTTATGAAATACTTGATGCTGACAGAATCAATTGGTAGTTGCCAAACTAGAAAAAAATAATAAGCCGCTGGGGTTACACTAGGCCAGAATCATCAATAATGTACTTCCACAGGATTCTAAACCCAATCCCCAATTCCTACAGATGATTTTAAAGGCTACTGAAATTAAATAATCCAATATTAATAGAGAAGACGTCTGGATGCTACTATCTGTATGATAATTCCATTATCCAAGCATATCACTGCAAGACTTCAAAACACTGTAAACTTTTTCTACAAAAAACGAACAAAAACTAAAACCTGAAGGTAGCACAGTTAAAACTATTTTTAACAGGTTATCAGAACGTGAAAATCCTCAATTACCCCTAGCCATGTGTGCTGCAAAGCTCCCAAAACTTCAGAAATTTAAAATGAGTCAAAGTCAATTAATGTTACTTTATGAGTAGTTTCTTGTAAATATAAGAAATCATTAAAACATTATTACTTACATAACTGGCTCGAGATCTAAACTTTTTCTTTTACAGTGCAAAACAGAGGTACTTTTAGGCTCTAATGATGTCTGTGCAGTAAACTGAACTAACTGTGGTGGAGACGGCATACCCCACGAAACGCCATGAACATTCCAAGGTGCACCAGAAGGAACCGGCATGGCATGTGGCTCTTGAACTGTACGATTATAGGGCTGCCCGGAAGACAGGGCTTGCTGGGCAAACATTTGTTTCGCCAGCTCATCAGATTGACCGTATTGATATGGGGGATATTTGTACACATCCATTTTAAATATCACGTAACACAATACAGAAAAAATAATTTAATAACTCGTTTAGTAAAGTCGCACTCAGCTCATAAAAATTCCTGAATTCACCACAAACAATAGGTAGTTATTTGATACCTATCATATAATATCAATAAAATCGAATAAAATAAACACTTCCACTCAATTCCACAGACTAACTATAATTATAGTGGATTCCTCTTTTTTATTAACTGGCTTTACGGCTCTAGGTTCCAGCCCTTCTGAGCCTATCATTTCTTTCGGAATCTTCATTTTTATATTCTTTTTCTTCACAATATGCTGATGCGTCACATTGCGAAGCCCTTGGGAGATTTCGATGACAGCTCAATCCAGCGGACAGTTGATGACAACAGCCACTCAAGTTCATATGGCGCCCAAGAGATCAAAATAACTTGAGGTTTATATCGACATCAAAGCACTTGTTTCGTCGTTTTCTCTAATAATTCACACGCGCGGACACTTAATTCACAAAATCGCATCTTTTACGAATCTAAATCCACTTCAAACTATTATTTAAGCGACAAAACAGGAACGACAATCCGTCTACGGCCAGGTTCCCGCCAAAGCTCCCAGTGGATTCCTCAATTCCATAGAATCATGGAGTATAGAGGTAAGGACGTAGACAGTAGTTTTATCCGTCTACGAGTAAGGACATGGAGTACTCTAACGTCCATGGGTAAGGAGAACAATCTCCCATAGGATAATAGTTGAAAACATGGAGGTTAGAGAATAACAGAAATATTCTGGAATTAGATTAAAACGTATTATAGGAATATTTATAAATACATATAACATGAAGTGTAGAGGTAAGGAGAACCATCTCACATAGAAGAAAAGTTGAAAAAGTGTCAATCTGCAGTAAATAACAGTTCAATAACTCCACAACAGCACTAAAGTAGTGTATATAATGTACTATGCTGCCCTATTAAATACAACAGCGATATCTCAGTGAAAGCAAATTTTGAGACATTTGAATTTTAGTAAAAGTAGTTTTATTTATACTTATTAAATGGAATGTGTATAATAATATTGACTATATTCTTAACTCTATAGATGAAATATCAAAAGTTTATCAATATAATAGAATATACTATAATAATGTCATATACTGCTATACCGTTAAGTAATTATTTAATTTTTTAATTATAAATATAATTAACTTTTAAGACACCGCCTTTTGGTTAGTTCTTTTTTTACATGTCTCTTTGTAAAAAATATATCGATTTCATGAAGAATAAAACAACACTAGATCAATTTAAGAAGTCATTTAGTATTAAAATTTATAATAATATGAAAAAACTTTTCAAAAAAAAAAATTAATGAAACGTGTTCTATGAAGTGTACCTAGATAGTTACTCATACCTAATCAAACGTAGGCAGTTCTCTCCAAAATGACATTCTATTTTGAGGTATAATATTTTGCAAAGACTTCAAAATATTTCCTTTTTTGTATTTGGAAATGTCTTTTGGGTCAGTTTTCCTTTTTGGTGGTAACAAAACGCAAGTTTTCAAAATTTTATTTCCGAATCCATTACTGTATGTCAAATCAAAACTGCCTCTACTAACTTTTACTTTGACAATTTCACTTATATATGGACGAAGGTTGATTCGAGATAGTTTATACTGAGTTGTGTAATCTTTCCACTCATAAAAATCTTATAGTTATATTTTTAGGCTTTACATTTTTTCCCGCAGTACTAACTGCTTGGGAAAAGTCTGAAAAATGATAGATTTTGTTTTTCATACGTTTCATTGACAACGCCACTTATGGTGGAAGCTGTCGGCCGACATAAAGGTACGACCTGGTTCAATGTATTTTATCATGATCTTATCGGCATTAATGTCACTTGAATTAACAATGTAAATTAAAAAAGAAAAGAATGACAAACTTTTGTTCTGTGATGAACTGAACAATTATCAACCCATGGTATGATATCCTTTTTATCGTGGTGAAAAATAAAGGAATGATAATATGCACTTACGATTTAATTTTTTGAGCGTCCAAACAACCGTTCATACTATAGTACAGGAAAAACACACAATCAATTTCGGACTGCACCTGTCGGCACAAAACTTTCATTGTAAACCACAATTCTGTGGGTGAAAATAGTGGTTTTAAACATATCGATCCTTGTTAGCATGATAACTTTTTGTAAACCTGCATAGTATACAACAGTATCAGTTTTATTTAACTCGCTGTCTAATTTGTATTGCTGTCTTGACAAGATTACCCTTTCGTTATGATTAACGCACTTAGTACATGCTAAACAGCTTTCGTGGAGGTTTTCTTTAGTATGTGTGCTATCGTGCAGACGAAATTCTTTACAATCCTCACTCTTCGTGACCGAGCTTTACAAACAATATATTTAATTCCCGAACTACTTCTCGGTATTTGTCATAAGAGATGTTGCGAGAGGGGTTTTTATCTATAAAATCTTTGTGCATGGAATTTATTGTCAAATCAATAAGCGGTTGGGGGCGTGTTCACGTCTATGATGAGAAATGTTTGGCTCGAAACTCAGTATGTGTTCCTTAATAGGATAGCAGTCAACTTTATTATGAGGCGTAGCTCCAAGTCTCCTATCTACTGGCGGTGCAACCGAATCTTTAAAATCAACCAAAGCCGTCTGTAAAGGTTTGCCATTAAATGGTTTGTAACCCAAAGTTGATAAAAAGAAAGTTTTGCATATCTCATACGTTGTGCCAGTACCGTCTTTAAGTAAATATTTGTAGCTTGAATTTTTCTGTATTTGTTTCCAGGAGCTTTAGGTAACATTGTTTTTTGTTTCACAGGCTTTACTGAAGCTTGATGTAGCATAAAAGCTTCCTGCTCTTTGCCACTTATCTTCCAGAAGCTTGCATTTATAATTTTTCGTTGTTCCTTGGTTATTTTCGTAATTTAATAGTGGTAGAGCCACGCGGCAACTTTGCTGTTGCAGGTATGGGCCGGCTCAAACCGGAGTGGTACCTCACAGAATACCGGCGTGAAGTAAAAGCTCTGCTTCCGCGTTTCATCTGGTGAGTGCAAGTGGCCAGAGGCCCAAATCCCCCCCCATCAACATGGTAGCGGAATTAAATGATGATAGACTACCCCAGGAGGATACCAGCACCCCTGGAGAATCCCTCGCTGAGCATCCACGACCATGTTTCTCCACTCCTGAGCGTGGGTGCTCAGGTTGCCCCGCGTATTCTGGGGGAGGGGGGCAAAATTCCGCAAGACTACAACTGCTCGGGGAAAACGGAGCAACAAGACCAAGGCGACCCCTGCCACGCTATCCGTGAATTCCTGCAATATCAGGGGAATTCACTCTAACCTCAACGCAGTCTACTACCATCTCGAGACGGCGAGGCCGGCTCTGCTCTTTCTGACCGAGACGCAGGGGTCCTCTCCGGCTGATGCCTCGTATCTCTCCTACCCGGGGTACAAACTGGATCACTCCTTTGTGCCTCGGGCTGGAGTTTGCGTTTACGTCAGAGAGGACATCTGTTCTTGACGCCTCGGCAGTCCTAAAGGTTCGGACCTGTCCATCCTTTGGCTATGCATAGACAGCGACGACTATCCGCGCGTCTACGGGTGCCTCTACAGGTCCCATAGCGGTAATGCCGAAACAGACCGACTCTTCGACTACGTCCAAATTTTTCTTTTTTTTTCTGTTTAAAAAACGTTACCCCTACACTAGGATTTTCTCCTGTATCGCGGGGGCAGTTTACAAACTTAAATTGTACAAGGACAAACATCCAGACTATCCAAACCATCATTGGCCGTTAGTTTGGCCATTGCGAAGGCCTTCGATTGGGTTTGGCACAAAGCGCTTCTTTCGAAGCTCCCTTCCTATGGGCTTCCCGAGAAATTGTGCGATTCGATCACCAGCTTTCTTGCGCCAACGCTGTTTCTTCTGCATTTCAATGATATGTTGCAAACCCGTAACATTCATTGCTATGCAGATGACAGCACTGGTGATGCTCTTTACACCGGCCGTGCCAATATTTCTCGGGAAAACGTCTCCTAGTACCGGGACAAACTTGTGTCTGAAGTCGAGTCTTTGCTGAACAGAGTCATGTATTGGGGGCGACTAAATCTAGTCCAGTTTAACCCCCAGAAGACACAAGTTTCCGCGTTAACCTCTAAAAAGAACCCCTTTGTCGTATATCCTCAGTTTCAAGGCACTCTTCTTGTTGCTTCAGCTAGTATCGGAATCCTCGGCGTCGACATATCGAGTGACGTGCACTTTCGTAGTCACTTGGAAGAGAAGGCCAAATTGGCCTCTAAACAGCTTAGCGTGTTCAGCAGAGCGGGACAGTATTTCATGCCGGCACACCGCCTGCAACTTTACAAGGCGCAGGTTCGGCCGCACATGGAATACCGTTCCCATCTCTGGACCGGGGCTCCCCAGTACCAGCTTCTTCAACTTGACCGCATCCAGCGCAGAGCGGCTCGAATCGTCGACGACCGAGTGCTTTCCGATCGGCTCGATTCACTGGCGCTGCGAAGAGATGTTGCATCTCTTCGCATTTTCTTTCGCATATACCATGGGAGTGCTCTGAGGAATTGTTCGGATTAATCCCAGCCGCCAAATTTCGTGAACGTACCACGCGGCAAACGTCCCGATACCATCCACACCATCTAGATGCTTGGCGATCCACCACTGTACGTTTCAAAAGGAGCTTTCTTCCGCGTACGACCTCTTTGTGGAATAGTTTACCACGACTTGGGGACCTTCAAGAAAAGAACTTACTCCTTTCTTTTTTTTATAGAATAGGGTGACAAAGGAGCACACAGTCCACCTGATGGTAAGTGGTTGCTGCGGCCCATAGACATCTACATCTATCCTCCATTAAAAATCAAAATAATTTCTAAAGGGCCGGCAACGCACCTACAATTCCCCTGGTGTTGCGGTTGATCATGGGAGGCGGTAGTCACTTGACATCAGGTGAGCCGCATGCTCTTTTGCCCCCTTTTTGCAGGAATCTGGACAGGG